CATTTATGTCAATGCTAGGGGGAAAAACACAACCGTTCTAAAATTTCATAGCCATGGATAGCGTAAACCTTGGATTGTGTGACTTGCGTGACTACTTTGCTTGTCCATTACACTTAGTGCAAACAAATTAAATTTTGACTTTTAAGGAAGAAAGCTGTTCATTAATAGCGTTACTAATAGCGCGACACTTGTTTTTTTCGTATCATGGGCATGTCCTGAGTGAACTTCCAGACTAAGACCATTACGTCATCATGAATAGATTTCTCAAAGCGCGGTTATAAGATCTAACTGATCTTCTTGTTGTTATTGCAGTGCTCAAATATAGAGCGTCAACATGCTGTTATTGAATATAATGAGTCAGAAGGTTGCTTTGTAGTTCAAGATCTCAACTCTGCACATGGAACTTATGTTAATGAATGCCGTGTACAAAATGCTGCTGTGAGACTTGCTTCTGGAGACGTCATTCGATTTGGATATGGTATCCTTTAATTATTTATTGTTGTAGGAGGCATCCTTTGGACTAAAGGTCCATGGATTAGTGCACTGTTGGTTGGGTGCAAGGTTTGCTGTGACAAAACAGTCCTTTAATTGTACCTTATAGAGAATGTCTTAAGATGTAACTCTATATGTTATGCTGTTAATATGTAATTTACCTCATTTAAATACTACATGTAGTTGTACAGTGTACTCCTTAACATGTTTGTGATAAAACAGGAAATACAGGATTTGAATTTCTTGTTGACTCCTCATCCCCAATGCATTACCCCTCATTGTCATTTTCAAAGCCATGGGAGTCATACAGGCTGCGTGTGTTATCCTCACAGTCAGCAGGAGTAACCTCCCTCCCTTACATTACCACTACCACTCCCACTAGCAGTGAAGGCATGTCACTGTACCCAAGCTCTCAAGCAGTAAGTCTACCTGGCACTTGGGGACCTTCCATGACAGAGTTACGAGGAACTTCTGATCCCAAGGTAATAACTGTCATCTGTCTTATTGCAAAACATACAATTTAACTCAAATTGATTCAGTCATCAATAATTAAAGCACATTCAAATAGAACAGATTAGATAATGTTAAAGTCTCATTCATCAGTCTCAACAGTCTTATGTCTGATTTGGGATGAAGATGATGAGTGACTGAATGACTATAATGCCCGTGGTACACTTTTAAGGGTGGGGGAAGAGCCTCTTGGAAATAGAGAGAAGAACTTATTTCAAAATCATAGATAAACCAAAACACATAATGTTTATTGATTTATTTATAACTTATTTGACAGACTAGTGTCATGCCCCACCCACCGCTGAGGTCACGACCAACAAGTGCTGGTTCCACAAAGGCACGCCCCAGCTCTGCTGGTAGAGAGAGGTCAGCTGTCCCCCCTGTGAGCAGAGGTAAGTATATAAGGACAGCTAATCGAGTGGAAAAAATAGCACACATCCAATGAATATTTCAAGACTTTCTCATTCCAGGTGGCATTTTGTTTTTATTGATGTGCCTATATGAACAATAATGGTGTTGATGAGACAACCAGGTAAATAGCCAGTGCAAAAATTTCAGTGAAGTTACTGACATCTGTTTGTCTCTCAGGTGGATGGGTCAATGGTCCAATACAGACAGGAGAACAAACTGCGCAGGAATTGGTAAGTTGCTGTTGTGTACAAGCTGCATAGAAAATGGAGCATGGGTTGAAAATAATAAATTATTTCAATTAATTAATAATTTGTTCAACTATAATTAAAAATGGTTTTCCCAACAAAAAACCACATAAATCTCAACTAAGATGTTTGAGCCTAACAGAACATGGCCTAACAGTTACAAACCACTTCAATTCCTATAAATTCCTAACCAAAATCTTTTACTCCAAAAAGTCTCTGCAAAAGTTCAACCTCCCTGTGAGTATAATAATCATACTTGACTGTCCCCCCCACCCCCTAGCTGTGTAGGTTAAGGAACAAGCTTGTGAATGACACCATTATATTGGGGAGTAAAAGGGGGGAGGAGGTAATTGTTGTTTTGTGAAAAGTTTTATTAATTTAATTCACTTCTACCAGGAGGAACGTCTGTTACGAATGGGCGATGAACTCAGCCGACTGGCCTCATATGAAGCAGAGTGTCACAGAAAAGATGGAGTCATTGCAGCTCTGAGAGATGAGGTTGTTGATCTCAAGGGAGCTCTTCAATCGAGTGGTGGTTTCAGGTATAGTTAAGTTACTGAGGTTTCATGTATAGCAGTTACCGCTGCCATCTACACATAAGTTAATATAATTATTGTGGTTAATTGTGTGCATGTGCTGTCCAGTTCTCAAAACCCTTATGCTACTTTGATTTAGAATAAAGCAGTGGGACTTCCCACATCCTGTTATAGCTTGGTTCTAAAATCTACATACCATTGCTCCTGGTGTTGACCTTAAAAAATGGACTTTATTTCATGCTGTTCAGTTCTCAAAACTCTTAGGCTGCTTCAGAAATAAAACACTGACAGGACTTTTGATACCCTGTTGTTCAGCCCCAGGGGGGGGACTACCATATAAAAAGGACGGGGGTGCTCATTGTACCTTTTAGAGGTTAAATAAAGTGGTTGTGGTACCTCTTCAGCCTCAAAAGGTCCACAGCAGGAGCTTTTGCAGCACTTTTTACAGTATTGAGTTGAAAAAATATGATGTCCAGGGGATAATGTGTTGTTTTAGAATTGGTACCTCTTAGGGGTGGAAAAAATTTCAAGCCACACTCACTTGGTACCTTTTAGGGGTTCTTTTCAAAATTTCCGACAAGCATCCCCGTCCTTTTTATATAGGAGTCTTCCCTGGGTGTACAGCTTGCCTCTAAAATCTGTACTAGTGTTCCAGACCTTGGCTTTTAAGGTATGCCCTTTACTTTGTGCATTTCATCAAATACAGTCACTTTAATTTGCTCCTTTTTTCTCACTTAGCCTTGCCCATTTTACAGCCTGCTTGACTCCAAATGTTAAAACATGTGTGAGTCAGATGTGCTATTAATGACTTTTCCATTAATTTTTGACTTTTTTCCCCTAGGCCTGGAGGTGAGGACTCAGCATTTTCAAACTCAAGTATTATTCTACAGCTTCGTGAGCAAGTTTCACAGTTACAAGGGATTCTACAAGAGAAGGAGGAAAGTGAAAAGACAGCAGCACAAAAGTTAGCCATGTATCAAAATCAACTTCATGCCAAGAACAATGAAGTGTCCACCCTGAAGGACCAGTTACAGGCTCAGGTTTGTTTAGCAGCAAAGAGCTTCTGGGTAGCTTATGTAGTGTGTGTACATCTACCATATTTCTCAGGGCCTCTATATTGTTCTGTGTTATCAGAATCAATAATATAAATTTTTCAAAAAATTATTTCAGCTATTACAACACAGGAAAAAAGTTACTTACAATTAATATCTTGTATCTCTAAGTAATCATGCAATGAACAAAGCAATGTTTTCGTTTTAGCCTAAAGCTACTACTTGGGTTAAAACAGACCCAAACGCCACCACAAACAAGATTGCTTCCTTACGCACTGAAATAGCTGAGAAAGAGCGAAGGATAGCTCAGTTAACCAATGACAATGAAAAACTCAACAAACAGAAGATGCAGTCCACGACTTTACTAAATGGATTACAGAGAGAAAATTCAGCCAAGGATGCACTGGTTCACCAGGCCAAGACTGAGATTGAAAAACTTAAAAAAGAGCTGCGTGAAAAAGATTCAACGATCTCTACAATGTCAACGAAGGTGAGAAGAAACTGAACAACGACTTTGTTGATGCTAATAGATACAAGGCTGCTGTATACTTACCGTCAACACAGTGACAGCATGGAAAGAGGGTATATTTTCTCAAAAGCGTTCCTGTCGTTTGTGGTAGCATTTACACCTCATTTACTCAACAAGTCGACCTTTCTAGGGGCGAGGCGTGCCTCCGGGGTTATATAACTCGCGTCCTATTTCAGTCTTTGATACCCTTTGCAACCCCTGTGTAGGATATTTTGAAAGTTTACAGTTATGAGTGTTGGGCATCAGTGCTGCACGCCAGCATTCTTCACACGTTTTAATTGTCAGACAGTCGTTTATTTAAATGAGTTGTTGTTATTCAGATGTTTTATATCTGTTGCGCTGAGTAATAAAAGT